TTAGGAGAACCAGCCAACCAACAGCAATGTGCAGAGGGTTGGAGGCATACAGAGCTTCACCTTCCTCTCTTCCCACCCTCTGATCTTTTGTCATTGCTACACCCAGCTGGATGCCAGGAGCAGAGAGCAGAGTGGAGGGAGGATCTAGAGAAGCAAATGGAAAAGACCCTGTCTAGGGGTAAGGTCATGGTAGAAGAAATGGAAAGGGCACAATATGAGACAAATTTAACAGGACTTTGCCTGAATGGATTTGGAGATGGAAAAAGAAAAGTCAAAAATGACATCCTAGTTTCAAGCCTAAGTTACTAGACTAAAATGACAATAACCTCAATTGAACCTATTTTTACTAACTATTGTATTCCCAATGCCTTGCACAGAACCTTGGGCATAAAAAGCTTCTATAAACAAATTGGAGTGAATGGATAGACAATGAAGAAGAAACTCGAGGGAAGATGATGTTTATGTAGCCTTACACATACTGAGTTTGGAGTATGGTGGAAGAGCCCAGCAGGTGATTGGAGATTTGAGCCTAAAGTTCTGAAAAGGAAAGAAATAAAGATATACTTCTAAAAACCATCTGCACAAAAATGTTGGCTGACACCAAGAGAGTGGATGACATGGTATAAAGAGCATGTATAAAGAGAAAAGAAGGAGGGCCTAATACCAAACTTGAGAGCTCTGATATATGGGACCAAAGGAGGAAGGGAAACCAACAAAGAGGGGGACGGGTAGGGAAAAACCAACAAAGGGAAAAGACAATCTGTGCAACCATTTGCTGTATTATTAAAATAATTTCACATACATTTGCACATCCCTGGCAAGCTCTATTCTTCTTGGCACTGCAGAGTTGCCTAATATAAAGATGATACAAATGCAAGCTGGAGTTCACCACTTACCTTCTTGCCTCAATAAAGGCTTTTTGTAAAGCCCTAATTCCCCACCTTACCAGTTTTGCTCACCTTGAGTCTAACACAGCCAACATTAATCCTTTCATAATTTAGAAAAGTCTGTTCGGCTTCTTCTTTCAAACAATCATGTATTGAGTATCTATTACACATCCAGTACTCTGCTCAGCAAAGTGGAAGTAAAAATCAATCTCCTGTCGAAACCGGTTTGGCTCAGTGGATAGAGCGTCGGCCTGCGGACTGAAAGGTCCCAGGTTCGATTCCGGTCAAGGGCATGTACCTGGGTTGCGGGCACTTCCCCAGTGGGAAATGTGCAGGAGGCAGCTGATCGATGTTTCTCTCTCATCGATGTTTCTAACTCTCTATCTCCCTCCCTTCCTCTCTGTAAAAAATCAATAAAATATATTTAAAAAAAAAAAATCAATCTCCAATCATCAAGAAAATTAAAATCCCCTTGGACTAAAAAACCATTGAGCATAAAACAGTTAAAGTTCAATTAAGAGCTGACCTGTATGATTCACACCAAGTAGCATTTCATCCGATGAAGATTCATACCATTCAGCACATGTTGACATCTGATTGTTTTTTCCTAGCTCAGATTGATAGAGGAGATAAATTCTACATAGGTGTACTTCCTATTAAATGCCTAATTATGCCACATGGTAAATTTCTCTTTACCTTTCTTCCCCATTGTTCTCAATAATCTTTGAACATGGTAGTCATTCAAATGTTTGTTATATGTGTGAATGAATCAGAAGCTAAGCCAAGTCCAGAGCAACTGTCAATGTTCTTAACTCTCTCCTAAGGCAAATCTCAAAAGCTTTAAGGTTAAAAGTCTTGGCCCAGGGCAGTGGTCGGCAAACTGCGGTTCAGCAAACCGCGGCTCGTGAGCCACATGCAGCACTTTGACCCCTTGAGTGTGGCTCTTCCACAAAATAACTGGCTCTTCCACAAAATACCGACTTCTGCACATGGGCCACGAAGTTTCAATCGCACTGTACATGCGCGCCCACACCTGGTATTTTGTGGAAAAGCCACACTCAAGGGGCCAAAGAGCTGCATGTGACCCGTGAGCCGCGGTTTGCCGACCATGGGCCCAGGGGATGGTTGGTATTAAAGACATGGTACTGAATGTTAAGGCAAAGGCTCAGTAAAACCCTGGGAAATCCTAAAACACTTTTAGAAAAGAGGAAAAAAGAAGATTCTAGCAAAATTCCTGAAGCATAAAATGTGTTCATTAATCCCCACTAGGGGGTGTGCAGGAGGCAGCCAATCAATGATTCTCTCTCATCATTGATGTTTCTCTCTCTCTCCCCCCCTCTCCCTTCCTCTCTAAAATCAATAAAAAAAAATTTTTTTTAAATGTGTTCATTAAATGTTTATGAGTGAATGAACAAATGACAGGTGAGGAAAGATAGTAAGCTCAAGAAGAGACCAAACTCAGAGAGTATACATGACAGATGAGGCTGTATTTAAAGCCCTCTCTAGCAGAAACTCTTCCTAGCAGATTTACTTCCTAATGGCAATTATGTCCATTTCTATGGATTAATTCTCCAGCGTAACCCTTTCTTCACTTCCTCCAAACTCCCTTTAAAGGAAAACCAAACCTCAACCCCACAATCAGCAGGGCCTCCCAAACTCAACTATACATACTCATCGCCTAGAGATTTTGTTAAAATGAAGGCTCAGAATTATTACATCTGGGGTGAGGCCAGAAATTCTGCATTTCTAACAAATGCCCAGCTGGGGCTATGATGCTGGTCCAAAGACCACACTTTTAGAGTGTCAAGAGCCTGAAGACATTACAGAGAAAAGGTAAAAAGTCTTAAAGCTGTGAGTAAGCTGCCTTCTGCTCCCACGTTTCCTACTTGTACAACAAGCATATCAAACTCGCAGCCTGCGGGCCGCACGCGGACCACACGAATATTTTTGCAGCCTAGCCAATATAATGGTATGTAAAACGTTTTAATAAAAATTTCATAACTTAATTTTTACAATATCCGGTTATACATAATTATCAATACGAACTACAATGTTCGCTAATGACTGATTACTATCATGTTGCATTCATTTCCCCTACATGCCTTACTCGAAGGCGCACCATTTCTCTCCACTAATACCAGCAGCGAATATTTTAGCAGCCAATTGCCACGTCATTAGTCTTGGACTGACTTGTTTGGTGTGTGCAACAGGAAATATTTTGCTTTCGGAGAACAAGAAAAATAGGTTTATTTGAGTTACGCTTATTAATTTGTGCAGTTATTCAGTGTCTGCTAAGTAAATGTTCAAGAAAAAATATTAATTTTTTATTAAAATGTTCTATTATTTTTATGTTAACAATGACTCATTTATTTCAGCCCTTTGTACTCAGAATGTCTCTATCGAAATAAACCTACGTTTCTATGAAAATTGAAACTTTTGGGGGTTTTTTGCGGCCCACATAAACATAAACCTTGTTTATTTGGCCCGTGTTCGCCTTTGAGTTTGACATATTCGTTGTACAACCTTAGACAAGTCATTTTACCTCCCTGAGCCTTCCTTTGTCATCAGAGGAACATGGTGAATAACAACAGCTAAGACTTACTGAGTGCTTACCATGTACCAGAAACTGTTTCATAGTCATCATTTTAGGACTAGGACTTAAGTTAAACAACCTGTCCATGCCCTAACCGGTTTGGCTCAGTGGATAGAGCGTTGGCCTGGGGACTCAGGGGTCCCAGGTTTGATTCCGGTCAAGGGCATGTACCTTGGTTGCAGGCACATCCCCGGTAGGGGATGTGCAGGAGGCAGCTGATCGATGTTTCTCTCTCATCGATGTTTCTAACTCTCTATCCCTCTCCCTTCCTCTCTGTAAAAAATCAATAAAATATATTTAAAAAAAAAAAAAAAAACCTGTCCAAGGTGGTTACAGTAACCCTAGGTCTGACTCTAGATGCCAGTGTCTAATCACCGTGTAAAACTGCCTCTGCAGCTTCGCTCTCAGAGTCTTTTTTTAAATATATTTTATTGATTTTTTACAGAGAGGAAGGGAGAGGGATAGAGAGTTAGAAACATCAATGAGAAACATCGATCAGCTGCCTCCTGCACATCTCCTACTGGGGATGTGCCTGCAACCCAGGTACATGCCCTTGACCGGAATGAACCTGGGACCCTTCAGCCCACAGGCCGGCGCTCTATCCACTGAGCCAAACCGGTTAGGACTCTGAGTCTTTATGAAGATTAAATATCAACTGGTACCCAGCTAGCATTTATTGGGCACTTACAAGTTCCAGGCCCCAGACGAATCTCCCTTGGAAGCAGATCAACTCATTTATCTTTATACTAGCCCTAGAAGATCACAGGTTTTAAAATAGGCTGGTGTGGTTCCGTGGTTGGGTATGGACCCATGAGCCAGGAGGTCCTCTGCCAGGGTTGTGGGGCGTGGGGGAGGCAGCCGGTCAATGATTCTCTCTCATCGCTCATGTTTTTTTCTCTCTCTCCCCCTCTTCACCTCTGAAATCAATAAAAATATAGTTTAAGTAGGCCCAGAGACGTTAAAGCTGGAAGTCAACCAGTGGCACGGTCAGGGCTGGACCCAGGCAGTCCAGCGGCAGAGCCCGGCGCTCTTCGGCCGCCAGCCAGGCGAGCGCGCGGCCCAGAGTCCGAGCTGCGGGGCTCCGCCGGCGGGAGGTCCGTCAGCCCCGCTCGTGCCCCGGGCAAACCAGGCCTGCGCTTAGCGCCACGTGTCTGTGCAAAGTGTCCTTCTCGGCCCTAACCCAGGACCCCCACGAGCGGGCCAGGGTTCGGGTGAGATATAACCTGTCCAGTCTCAGAAAGGGCTGACTGGCTAAACATCTTGAGAACACATTTTCACCGATATCGTGACAGAACCGCTCCGGAACCCCACACTCCGTGGGCCCAGGAACTTGCGCCGCCCACCTGCGCCGCCGCCTCCGGGGACCCTGGAATTTGTAGTCCGGGTTCTCGCACCGGCTCCGCCCCGTCCGGGCACGAGCCAAAAAGGCCGCTTCGAACCCCATCTGCTCTCCAACACTGCCCTCTGCCGGCCTCTTCTCATCCAGTCGCCCGGATGATGAGCCAGTTCCGGTTGCTCCGGAAGTGAAGCTTTCTCTTCCGGGGCGAGCGTCTGGATTCTCGCACGTGGTTGTGTTGCCCCGGCTCGAGCCGGCGCTGGCGGAGAAGTAGTTTGAGTTGTTTTACTGGAGCTGGTGAGCGGAGCCGGGACCATGGAGGGCCAGAGCGTGGAGGAGCTGCTGGCTAAGGCGGAGCGGGACGAAGCCGACAAGTTGCAGCGCATCACGGTGCACAAGGAACTGGAGCTGGAGTTCGACCTGGGTAACCTGCTGGCCTCGGACCGGAATCCTCCCACGGGCCTGCGGCGCGGGGAACCACCCCCGGAGGCCGAACTGCGGGCCTTGGCGCGGGACAACACGCAGCTGCTCATCAACCAGCTGTGGCAGTTGCCCACGGAGCGCGTAGAGGAGGCGCTGGTGGCGCGGTTGCCGGAGCCCACCACTCGCCTGCCGCGCGAGAAGCCAGTGCCCCGGCCGCGGCCGCTTACCCGCTGGCAGCAGTTCGCGCGCCTCAAGGGCATCCGTCCCAAAAAGAAGACCAATCTGGTGTGGGACGAGGTCAGCGGCCAGTGGCGACGCCGCTGGGGCTACCAGCGCGCCCGCGACGACACCAAGGAGTGGCTGATCGAGGTGCCCGGGAGTGCCGACCCCTTGGAGGACCAGTTCGCCAAGCGGATTCAGGCCAAGAAGGAACGGGTGGCCAAGAACGAGCTGAACCGGCTGCGTAACTTAGCCCGCGCGCACAAGTCGCGGCTCCCCAGCTCGGCCGGGATGCACCCGACGGGACACCAGAGTAAGCAGGAGCTGGGCCGCGCCCTGCAAGTGGCCAGGGTCTCCACCGCTTCCGTGGGGCGCTTTCAGGAGCGCCTGCCCAAGGAGAAGGCCCCCCGGGGCTCCGGCAAGAAAAGGAAGTTTCAGCCTCTTTTCGGGGACTTTGCCGCGGAGAAAAAGAGCCAGTTGGAGATGCTGCGACTCATGAACAGCAAAAAGCCTCAGCTGGACGTGACCAGGGCCGCCAATAAGCAGATGAGGGAGGAAGACCAGGAGGAGGCGGCCAAGAGGAGAAAAATGAGCCAAAAGGGCAAGAGAAAGGGGGGCCGGCAGGGTCCTGGGGGCAGGAGGAAAGGGGGGCCCCCGCCCAGCCAGGGAGGTAAGAGGAAAGGAGGCTTGGGAGGCAAGATGAATTCCGGGCCGCCCGGCTGGGGTGGCAAGAGGAAAGGAGGGCAACACCAAGGAGGAAAGAAGAGGAAGTAAAGTTGACCCTCTGACCCGAGTACCTGTAAACCAAGAACTCCTCTACATGTTAAGGGGTAGTCCTGCAGGGGGTGCAGAAGAAGGTGGCCACCGCCTTCATTGAGGTTGAAGGGATAGGATTGCCCTCCCCTCAAAATACTATGAAAATGTTGGACTTTACAAAGTAATGTTTTTCCAATAACCATGTCTTTGGCTGGAGATGTAAAGGATGTATTTTTTTTTTTATTATTATTAACTTTGGATGTGGTATGAGGGACAGTTCATATTTCAGAGACAAATAGTATGCCTTAAGCTTTATTTTTGTAACAAGCTTGTGTATTGATCAAAGTAGCTGGGAGCACACAGAAAAATTTCAGAACTGACCTTAAAAGTAATTGTTGTGAAGTTATTTAATAAAAGTGTGTCTGTATTTAATGTTGCTTTTCACTGTTTGGCTATCGTTAAATAAAGCCAGTGACCTGGATATCTGGCACATATTATTTTTCTTTACTTTCTAAAACAGCAGCAAACTTGTGATTTTAGCAACATCACTGTAAAAAAAAACAGCATCTTTTAGTATCAGATATAATATTGAAGGTATAGTATAATTGGTTTTTCTAAAAACAGATTTCTTGCTTTTCAACACAAAATATTGATTTGCTTGCTGTAAATGATAAGTTTGGGTATAACTGAATAACGGTGGTAATTGTCATTAGTCCAGAAAATACTTAAATATTTCTCAACATTTTATGTCCCCAGTTTTTTTTTAAACTTCAAATAGGAGCTGTTTTGGGAAGACAGCTTACAAAACTCTTAATTGAAACATTATCTTTTACTCATTTGTCAAATTGGCCTGGAGCTGGTTTGTTTAGGTGTTGAAATGTTATTGCCATTCTGGTTATCTCTCCCTAATATCTCCTGAAAAGTATTCATAGTAGATCTCAAATCCAGGGGGGTCTTTTTTTGCTGCTATTACAGAGCTGAGAGCCATTATACTCTGCTGTTTGGTCTGATAATTGATAGGAAATTAAAATTGGGAATTCATTTTTTTTCAGTGTTGTCTCATTTTAATAAGGTTACTTTAGAAATTGCTATGAAAGAAAAGAGATTTCATACAGGTTACTTAAGACACTTGTTCAGTCATTACTTAGGATATTTTCTGATTAAGTGAAAGTTGAACTTTTCCAAGTTGATCATTGATCAACTTTCCCACGTGGACTTGGTACACTTGGGGCTGCTAAGCCCTCCCAGAGTGTACCATTTAATGGAATCCTGGAGCAACTTCATCAAAAGCCGAGCCATTCAGGGAGCATTTAATCTTTAATCCTCACCCGAGGATGTTGTTTTGGTTTTTGTTTGTTTTTGTTAGAGAGAGCGAAAGACAAATCAATTAGTTGCCTCCTGCACACCCCCACCAGGGCGGGGAGCTAGGAGGAGCCTGAAACCGAGGTACCTGCCCTTGACCTGATCCAACCCCGGACATTTCAGGCTGCAGGCCAGTGCTCTATCCACGGGCCAACACCTGCTAGGGCCAAAGAAATTACTGGGAAAGGTATGCCCTTGTCTTGTCCTTTCCCCACATAAGAAAGAGGGTTTTAAGTGGAGACTCAAGTATCCAAGACCCTTCGGAGCAGTTACCTCTGGCGGTTTTGACTCGTGGGAAAGTGGCCCTGAGCCACCCGGAGTGCCAACCAGGGATTTGCCCAACTGAGGCGGGTGGGCGGGGGGAGGAGGACGCGGCGGTGATTGGCCCGAGTGGGGGGCGGGGCCCCGGCACGCGACTGCTCAGCCATGGCCGCCGCCCGCGCTCGGGTAGCGCACCTACTGAAGCAGCTGCAGCGCGCAGCGTGAGTGCGGGGCCGGCGGGCGGGCAGGGACCCGAGGGTGCCAGGGTGCCACCGTGCCCACGCAGCCCCCTGGGTGTGATCCGCCCGCCCTGCGCATTCGTCCTCGGGCCATTTTCAGGAACCGGGGAAGGGGCTTGCGCAGGGCGCGCCCACGGTGCGCCGGGTGGGCCTGCGCCGTCAGATTGTGCCCCGCATCTGCACCCCGCGCTGGGAGGCGGGTTTTACCCTGTTCTGTGTGCCGTCCAGGAAACGGAGACCCAGAGACAACAGCCCGTGGTCCCACGTCGTGCCAGGCAGTGGAGGGCCTGGCACAGTGGCCGAGACAAATGCTTGTATCCAATCAATACATTTATACTGGGTGCATGTGATGTGCCAAAAGTTGTTCTAGGAGCTGGGGACACAAAGATGGGAGATTCTGGAGCAGTTTAAAGTCTAGTAGGATATTGGATGCAGGGACAAGGTTTGTAAAAGGGGCCTGTGCGGAATGCAGCCGATCAGGTATAGAAGAGACGGATGGACTGATGTCAGTATGTTAAATGCTTTGACATGCCTGACTCTCTCTCCATTAAGGAAATGTGGGGTACGTAGCAGCCACCTGATAAAATACGTGTTGAATGTGCAAGTATTTTGAATAGTGGGCCAGGGAAAACATGGAAAATTTAAAGCAAAGAGGTGGAGATACATAGGGAGGGAGGGGGACTAAAGAGGAATTTCAGGTAAAAGGAGAGCAGCGCCAGAGAAAAGAAATGTAGAAAATCTAGCCCTCCCTTCATAGGAGGAGGTGAGGATGGAGAAGACAGACGGTAAAAGACCACGAATAGAAAATAGAATTTATTGGGCACTTACCATGTGCCAGGCACTGTCCTGCACATTTTACACATATTATTAATAGTAACTCTAATCCTTACACCAACCCTATGCAATACTGTATTATATCCTCATATTACAGTAAAGAAATAAAGGCATGGAGAAAAAGAGTTTGTGCAGTGTCACACAGCTAAGTAAATGGCACAGCCATAATATGAGCCCAAATATTCTGGCTTCACAGTTCTTGTTCGCATCCTCTGCTAAGGCGCTTGAATTGTGTCATGTGGATAATGGAAAGTTATGGAAGCAATAATTCTCACTGTGAAGCTGCACCTTGAAATGCTCCACGAAAAAATAAGTACAGGTGCAAGGACTTTGCCAGCTTACATCTGGCCCCCAACACATGGCCACATATATTTGGGAACACATGGCCACATAGATTTGGGAAACTGCTCACTGCTACATAGCTCTCTTGTGGAGTCAGGATGCATGTCTGCACATGAAAAGGCTCTGAGAAGTCCTGTAAAAGGTGGGGGGGGGGGGGGGGCGCAGTGGGTTAGCTGTATTTAAACTCTTGATTCTAAACCTGTGTCAGCATAGAACTTTTTATCAAGCAACACCATTCCTTGGAATCAGTGTCATGTAGAACATGTAGGTAGAGTGGTTGCATGGCAAAGGAGTGTGGCATAATTAGAATTGTATGAGAGCTTTCGGGTGGCAGTGCAGAGTGGGGAAGAAACACTAGAGGTAATCGTAGTGCTCCAGCTAAAAGGTGATGGCTTCAGACACCCTCGGGAGGCAGCTGGTACAAGGGTAGATATGAGAAATACTGAGGAGTTGGTTAGAATCAGCAAGATTTTGTTTATTTTTAGTGAAACAAGGAAGAAATTGAGGTTTCTGGCTGAGGCATCAGGTAAGCAGTGGGGCCATTTACCATGATAGGTCCTAGAAGAGGGTTTGCTTTGGGAGGAAGATGATGACCTAAGACTTGGGCATTTTGAGTTGGACATGCCTCGGGTACGTCCAGATGAAGACCTCCAGCAGGGACTTGAATATATTTTTCTGGAGTTCAGGAGCAAGTTGAGAATTCATCCTTGCCATGCCCCCTGAAATCTGGCTTTCTACTCATCCTAGCACCTTGCTCTCATAGCACGGAACACTGTGGGCCACCCCTCCCTAGGAGGCTGGCAAGGCCTTGGCAAACTGTAAGCATAGAAGAAAAGGGCACTATGCCAGCCACTGCAAATAAAGTTATGAAAAAGCGTAGCTGTTGCCTTGTTATCACAAAATTTACATTCTCAAGGCAAATGCCACCAGGAAAAGGGCACCAACAACACAGTGCGGTAACAGTTTTAATGGGAAGGGAGGTGCAGTACCAGGGATCACAGAGAGAGGGTGTCTACCAGGAGGCCTCTGCCAGGGAAATTGACATCTGAATTGACCTGAGAAACACTAGTTACCCAGAAGAGGCAGGAAAGTGAGTTCCAGGCAGAGGAAATAACAGAGTTCTGGAGGCCAGAGAGAGAGGATGTGGCTGATTAAAGGAAAAGAACCAAGTTAATTTTTTGAGAGCTCAACCCCAGAGATGGAGGGTGATGAGGGGCTAGGCTGGAGAGGTTAGTAGGACCAGTGAGGTAGGGCCACATCTGAACTTTATCGTAAGAGCCGTGACAAGCCATCGAAGGGAGCAGCATCCTTGGAAATATGCCCCTGATCACAGTGTAGTAAAAGTAGAGCGAGTGAAGAGAAGCCTGTTAGGAACGTCGTAGTAAATCCAGATGAGAGATGACACCAGAACCAGAGAGTGGCAGAGGGCCCCGGAGCAGTAGATGGATTTGGCTAGAGAAATATTTGGGGCCTTGATGCATGGTTGGCTATAAAAGGTGAGGGGTGAGCCCTGCATGGAAGCCAACCTTTAAGCAATGGGCAGAGTGGAAAAGAAGCCAGGGGCAGAATAATTAGAGGTGAGGAGGGAGTCTGGAAGCCAAGAAGAGCGTTTCAGCCTCCTAGGGAGGGGTGGCCCACAGTGTTCCGTGCTATGAGAGCAAGGTGCTAGGATGAGGTCAGAGAAGTGAGGATGCAACAGGAAAGCTGGGACTTCTGAAGACAGAAGCCAGATTTCAGGGTGCATGGCAAGGAAATGATGCCAGCAGATGTGTAGGTCAGGCGCAGAGAACCAGAGAATGAGCAAACCAAGGGGGTTGAGTTCTAAGCATGAAACTCTTAAACATGATATGACAAGGATCAAGTGAGGGGAAGGACTAGGAAATGTAGGACAGATGGAGGTCCCAGGAAAGCAAGAGGAGATGGGATTCAAAGCACAACTACGGAGTAGAAATGATGGATTGAGGTAGCCTCTGAACCTGAAAAATATAAAATAAAAAGGGGGGTGGAGCATGTGCTCCCATGATCCTGGGCATTAGAAAGCTTTGAGTTTGATTTTTTTCTTCCCTTTGCCTCCCTTTTCTTGGAGGGCGTAAAGCTCGCGTTGGCCTTGCCTGCTTTCATTTTTCCTGCAGGAGTCTGTGGCTGGATCAGACCAGCTGGGATGCTCTAGGACAAGCATGTCAAACTCCCGGCCCATGGGCCACATGCAGCCCACAAGGAATATTTCTGCAGCCCAGCCAATATAACGGTGGGAACAGTTATTTACAATTATGAAAGGAAATAAGTCTCCTGTCAGATCCAGAATCACTGACATTCACCTTGGGTCAGTTTTGAAATTTTGCAAACAAAATTTCCCCCGAAGTAGGAAAGAGAGTAGCAGAGAAGAGAGAAGAGATGCCAAGTGTCAGGAAGAAAACATTAATTTTATCATTGCTCTTGTTCT